GGCTGCTCAGAGAAGCTGTGGCTGCCTCATCCCTGGAAGTGTCCAAGGCCAGGTTGGAGGGGATTTAGAGCAACCTGGGCTAGTGGGAGGGGTTGGAATGAGATGATCTTTAAGGTCTCTTCCAACCCAAACCATTCTGGGATTCTATTACTTGAGGAAAAACATTGTGTTTCCCGACTGACTGATGCTCAGCATCCAAAAAAGGGCCTGGGGTGAAGACAGAGTGTTTGATGTTTGGCTCAGGCCAGAGTTTCCACACCCCCCTTCCCTGCAGTTCAACCTCCTCCTTCCCTCTCAGCAGGACGTGTGTGGTTGCAGGAGCACAGACAGCCCAGCTTGGGGTCACCCACCACGGTGACAGCGGCTGTGGAGCCACCTCTGACCCTCAGGGATGGTTCTCCACATGCAAACTGCACTCGAGGAGCACCGTGCAGTGTCCAACTTCTGTACAGGCAACAGGGGAGTGACCCAGAGGGGTCTCTTTAAATTAGGGCTGTGAGTGGCAGGTCTGCCTCAATAATCCATAATAATTTGCCTTTCAAATCTTGGCCACCAGAGCTCGAGCAGCTTGTGAATCACAAGATCTTCAGTGGCAACATTTAAGGAGCAATTCAGTTTTGTTCAACTTGCCCAGTCTTGTTTCAGGTGAAACATGAAAGTCCATTTTCCATGCTGGCTCTTGGAAATTACAGAATCCCAGAATGGTTTGGGTTGGAAGAGACTTAAAGCTCAACTAATTCCAACCCCCTGCCATGGGCAAGGACACCTTCCACTATCCCTGGTTGTTACTGCTGTGGGTCTGTGGCCAAATAAAAAAATAGAAAACCAAATTGTCCCTTCTGCCCCAACTCTGTCCTCGAAAAAAACTCCCAACACCTTCTCAAAAGAGCAGCTCACAATGGGGATGGGATTTCTTTTGTTCCAGAGTTTCCAAGCTGCTGGAGAACCACGGTGTATTGTTTCAGAAAGGGGCAGGAGTTCAGTTTTGGAAGAAGGAAGGTGTAACAAATAATTCTCACTTTTCTTGGCAGGGACTGTGGTGAGCTGGAAGCAGGGCCTGTGTTTCAAGTGAACAATTCTCCTGCTGCCCATGGGCCCCTGAGCTGCTCCTCGGGGGCTGGAATAGGAGGGTACCATTCTTCAACACCTCCTGGCATCCTTCCACAGGAGGTTTGGCTGTGGAATTTCTGGTGAAAGGGTCCTGCTGCTTTGTTAGACAACAAAGAAAAATCAGAGCTGGTCTGTGCTGTGGTGCAGAGGAAGAAGAGCTGAAAACACCAGGAAGGTGGAGCCTGACTCAAATCAGGCTGGTCATTGGGATTCCCTATTTGGGAATGTGCTGGTGGAACAAGGAGCCTCACACAGGTCTTTGTAAAGTCATTTAAAATCTTGGTCTGGGCTAGAGTGTGATGGGGGCTTCTCTACACTCAGGCTGTGTATCATGGAATTTGTATGATTTATGGGAACCCTATAGCTGGAATAAAATTTCAGGGGTCAAGAGGTGAGATGAAGAAATGGAGAAATGAGGGTAAATAGCAGGAGTAGTTCCCTGACAGAGAATCCCACTGTGCTGCCAGTCAGGCCTGTGAACAGGAGAGCACAAATCTGCCACCAAGTGTGACACAGGGAATGAGCCAGAACTGACAGGAGACAGGATGTGTGGATGTGGAGCATGGATTGCACAGAAATCATTGCCCCTGGGCCTTTCTGCCTTATAGTCCACTCCCAGAAGCTGGAGTTCTGTCAGAAAAAGGCAGGATTGTTCAAGGACAAATATGCCCAGCCCTGGAGCCATTCAGGAACAGTTTTCCTGGAAAAAAATCCTTGAAGAGCCAATTCTTTTTTGGTACTGATTAACAGGAAAAGTGCCATAGGCTTGGCTTCCTTCAGCCAGAGAGAGCTGATACCCTCCTTATTGACTCTGATTCGTCTGAAATTAAAGGGATCACCAGGAGCTGATCTGATGCTGTGACACGCTCACCATTTTAGCAGCCAGATGATTTAATGACCCATCACCCAAAAAGCATCCTTTGGCTTAGCACCTCTGGCTGGAGCATCAACTCTGAGAGCCTGTCAGACTCCAGGTAGCTTGGGGAGAGCAGGAAGAGGAGGACAGTCCCCTCCAGCCAGCAGAAATCAGGATAAACCCAGTGTGGCTGCACTGAAGGTGATGGAATGACACCAGTGTCAAAGCAGCAGCTTCATCAGTTCTGTTGGGGCAATAAATGCCTTGACTCCTAATTACTGACTGCAGAGCCCAAGATTAGAGTCTTAACTCCCAAAAGGAACATTTTTATTCCTGCTTTTGACTTCAACCCAAACTCCAGTCCTTGCATATCCTGCTGCAGGATTTATTTGCTACAGTTTTTCCTAGCTTAGAGTCATCATCGAATTCCAACAGCAGCCTATTCCTCGAAGTCTTACCTCTCAAGGATTCCTTGAGAACAGCAGGTATAGGTGGGTGTGCCTCCATAGCAGGCAGAGCTTGCCAGCCTGCAGACCACAGGCCAGCTGGCAAATCCCGTAGGAACTCCATGGTGGTGCTGGTGGAACTGGGCTGTGGAAAGTACAGCAGATATTTCTGTCTGTGCTGGTGTCACTGTTTGAATGTGGAGCACCAGTGGTGGGTGTTTGCCCCTCATGGGAGGACTTCAGCTCTTGCTTCCTTCCTCAGCTGGAGTCACCACATTGAGGAAAATCCCCATTCCAGGCAGTTCTTCCCACTCCTGTCATTATGCAGAATCCCAGAATATGCTGAGCTGAAAGGGAGCCACAAGGATCATCCAGTCCAACTCCTGGCCCTGCACAGGCCCATCCCCAAGAGTCACCCCCTGTGCCCCAGAGGATCAGCCAAACCCTCCTGGAGCTCTGGCAGCCTTGGGGCTGTGCCCACTGCCCTGGGGAGCCTGGGCAGTGCCCAACCAGCCTCTGGGGGAAGAACCTTTGCCTGAGATCCAACCTAACCCTGCCCTGACACAACTTCAGACCGTTCCCTCCGTCCTGTCCCTGGTCCCCCCAGAGCAGAGCTCAGTCCCTACCCCTCCTCTGCCCCTGCCCAGGAAGGTGGAACTGCACTGAGGTCTCCCCTCAGTCTCCTCTGCTCCAGCTGAACACACCAAGTGCCCTCAGTGTCCTCCCACAGCTTCCCCTCAGGGCCCTTCCCCATCTCTGTTGCCTCCTTTGGACACTCTCTAATGGCTTAAATCTCCCTTGTGTTGTGTCCCCCAGAGTTCCCCACTATTGCAGGGGAGGGGCCCCAGGGCAGAGCAGGGCAGGACAATCCCCTCCCTGGTGCCCCCAGGGCAGGGATGGCCCTCCTGGCTGCCAGGGCACTGCTGGCTCGTGGCCACTTTCCAGCATCACATTCCCAGTCTGTCCATCCATCCGTGGTTGCCCCATCCCAGGGGCAGAATCTGGCACTTCCCCTGGTTGAACTTCCCCTGGTTGGTGATTCCCAACCCTCGGATCTGTCTCTCAACAGGGCCTCCCTGCCTTCCAGGGACTCAACAGCTCCTCCCAGTGTTGTGTCATCTGCAAATCTGCTCAGTGTCCCTCCCGGTCCTGTGTCCAAGTGATTTATGGAGGTGTTGGAGAGCACAGGGCCCAGGAAGGAGCTCTGTGGAACCCCACTGGTGGCAGGTCACCAGGCCCTGTTGGAGGCTATTCCACCCCCAACCATGACAACACCTATGGAAAGCCCTGCTGGGTCTATTTGGACACTTCCCAGTGTGACTGAGGTGGCTGTGGAGCTCTCTCTGCCCTGTGATCCCACGGCTGGGACTGAGCCTTGATGTCACCAGGAAGGTGACAATGTGACAGCTGCTCCCAGTGGTGCTGCAGGGCTGAGGGATGAGGGGCTGGATGGTCCTTTAGGATGCACAGAGGTCCTTGGGCAACCTGGACCAAGCACCAGGTCATCTCTGATGAACCTGTGACACGTGGGTGACACAGAGGATCAGCATTCCCAGAGCCAGGTGGGAAGGAATGACCTCTGGGAGCCATCCCAGGAATTTTTGTCCTGAGTCAGGATTTAAGGTACTTCCCACCTTCCCTGCTGAGCCTCACTAAGCTCAGACTATGAGCCAGGTCTGTGCTTACAGGCCCTGCTGCCTTTCTAGCACAGAAGAGGAGTGGATTTGGAAGAACCAATGATTTCATATCTTACAGGTCGTGGAGATTTATATTATTCACTTATTCACATAAGTATTCACAGGTATTTTTATGGTAAGTTTTTGGGTTTGTTTTTATTTTAAAACGAAAACGAGTCGAGAAGGAGGTAAATGTAGAAAAATGTGTTTTCGGGGTTATTTTTAAGATTTTTTTCATCTTTTCAGGCGCTATTTCCTTTAAAAATTAGCTCAAAAATGTTACAAATAACTGTAAAAAGATCAAAAGACAGAGGTTGTTTTTCCATAAGCATTTGAGGTGCTGTGGAGGAGAGGAGAAGAGGAAATGGTGCCCAAGTGGGGGCTGGACCTTTCCATACCAAAATGCCTCTTCCTCAGACCTCCCAAAGTTGCCTCATTGGGAGGAAGCAACCTGAGGATGAAGAAGGTTCCTGGGGTTGGAACTGGGTGACCTTTTAGGTCCCTTCCAACCCAAACCATTCTGTGATCCTCTGAAGACGTGGGAAATTCTGGATAAACACACAGAAAGAACCCCCTGTCCCCTCCTGGTGGCTTTGACAGTGGTGCCCCTGGACATCTGCAGCCAAGCAATGGGGGTTGCTTCTTTTTCTCTTCTGCTCAGGGGGACGTTTTCCCACATGCTGGAACTGTGATTTGGGCACAGTTCTCACCCAGCAGAAGAGAAACAATTGTTGCTGTGACTGTGTTGACACTGATTTTTAATGGTTTGTTGTTTCCATGCTACAGGAGCTTTATCAGAGGGTGAGAAACTGGAAGAAAGAGAAGTAGAAGGCCCTAAACAGTGCTGACTTAACACCCAAAGGGGCTGGGTGCTGGACATGAGGCGAGCAAGCGATGTGGGACAATAAGTGTAAGTGCCATGGGTTTATTCGCAATCTGTCATTTCAGGGCTGAGAACTGGCTGTGCTCGCAGCCCCGAGAGCGGAACAGCCGCTCCCCAGCGGGCAGGTCCTCATCAGGTTCTGCAATCTGCTGCCTTCAAAGGTCTTCCTTTTGGGTGCCCTTAATCCCACTTTACCCAGGACAGGCGGGCTGTGAGATCTGCAGGGAACAAGGGAGAAAGGAAAACACAGGAAACACTTCAAATCCATTTAAATCAGCATTGAACGAGTCAACTCTTCAGCCTCTCCAGAAGAGGAGCCTCGTTCATTTGGCTCTTTCCAAGTTAACTAGAAGCCTGACAACAGAGGTGATCCCAATGTGTTGTTTAAAAACCTGTTTATCTATTAAAAGCTGGAGAAGATGGACAATAAAATATAAATATTCTCTGTAGTCAAGAGAGTTGTGGTCAGTGGTATATCAGGAGTCATTTTCCCAGTCATGTAGCTGATGGGAATGAATAGGAAAGGAAAAAAAGACTCAATTAACTTTTCTTTTAAACTAAATTATTGCTTTTTCCCTTCAGGCTCTGTCCTTTGGACACTTCACTGGGAAGTGAAAGGGGAATGTTTTTATTCAATGACTTTTCTTGGGTTTTGTGCTGCACTTTTGAAGGCTCAATATGGTTCAAGGCCTGTTTCCAAGATGTGACAAACTCCAAAGGGACAGGGATAGAAAGGGAGTTAATTAACTTATAATGCAAAGTGCCAAGAACTACTGAAAATCCCCCTCTGCTCCTCCCTGCTCTCGGCAGCACAAACACCATGTTGGGCACTTGGGCAATTTCCCATCTTCACATACTGATGAAACAATATATTCTGGAGGAAGAGAGGACTAAATCCATCCCACCTAAGTCAGGATTGAGTACAAAACAAATAAAACCAGAATAACAGCCTTTCACTTTAAAATAGAAATATTTACCTAAGAATAAAAATTGCAAATAGGTGTTTGCTCCCCTATACTTTGGAAATAACCTGAAATTTGAATGCTCTGTTTTGTGTATCCTGCTTCTGTAACTCTTGGTTACTAGAACATATGTATTTTAAGAAATTAAATATTTCATTAAATATTTAAGAAATTAAATGCTGTCTGTGTTCACAGACAGGTGTTTTTCTCAGTCAAGTACAGACTGAAAAAAACTTATAAAGAAAACAAAGAAAATCTCTACAGGCTCCCTCAGCTTGCATCATAAAAGATAAATTTTGCACAGAATTGATAAAAAGAAGTCTAAAAATATATTCAGAGAATAAAAATCATGTTTGTCAAAGGAGCCATTTCCATGAACTTAGTAAGTTGTTTTGAGGGGGGTTTAATTTTTTTAAGAACAAATCCTTCTCCAAAGAAAGTCAGAAGGAAAAGTTGAATTATTTTAATTTTGATTGTGAGTTTACTCAGCTCCTTTTTTTTGCAGGTGATTTCTCTGCTGTCAGAGCCACTTGGATGTGACAAGTGGGGGTTCAAAAGCAATTTGATGCTCTTCCACTGGTAGCCCAAAGCATTGCTCTGACAGGACCTGAGGGAGCGGCTAGAGCTGTGTCAGGGGAGGTTTTGGTGGATCTCAGGAAAAGGTTCTTCCCCCAGAGGGTGGTGGGCACTGCCCAAGTTCCCCGGGGCAGTGGGCACGGCCCCAAGGCTGCCAGAGCTCTGGGAGGGTTTGGACAAGGCCCTCAGGGACAGGGTGGGATTGTTGGGATGCCCTGGGCAGGGCCAGGAGCTGGACTCTGAAATCCTTGTGGGTCCCTTCCAGCTCCGGGTATCCTGTGATTCCACGTGATTCTGCTCCCCCAAAGCCCCCCTGGCCCGTCACTCACCGCTCGTGTTCCAGGCTGCGGGCGCTTGGCTCTGCCAGCCCTTCCTCAGGCACTGCTCCACGTAGGCCCTGGGGTGGCAGCCGGAGAGCAGGATGTCGCGGAGCAGCGCGATGTAGGCGATGGCCAAGCGCAGCGTGTCGATCTTGGACAGGCGCCGCTCGTAGGGGAAGGTGGGCACGTGGCCCCGCAGCCGCTCGAAGGCCGCGTTGATGCTGAGCATCCTCCTCCTCTCGCGCAGGTTGGCGGCACGGCGCTGCCGGCCGTGCCCGGGAGGCTGCGCCGGGCTGGGGGCACCCCCTGCTCCCCCCTGGGCTGTTCTCATGCAGGACGGGTCCTCCAGGCACGGCCAGTCCAGCAGGAAGTTCTCCAGCTGGGCCTCAGGATCTGCCTGGTCCCACAAGAGGAATTCAGTGGGGTCTTCCCACTCGAAGCCGTAGCAAAGCTCCTCCATGAGGACCCACCGGTCTCAACCGACCTCAAGAAATGCTTGGAGCTTCAAGGGCTCTGTGAGGTTCTAATCTCTAATTGTTGGGGAGTCCTGGTTGTGTCCTTGAGGAAGAACATCCTCGAAAGATGCAAATCCAAGCGGGACTCATGATTTAAATACTTGATGGCTCCCCAGTAGGGGAATGATCCCATTCTTCTCCACTGCAAACTAATTAATCCATGTGCTTCTCTTTTTATCAGCTGTTGACTGCAAAACAATGTGAATGAATTGAAGGCAGAATGAGGTTTTTATTGGCTTTCTCCTGGAAAATCCATTGAAGCTCTTGCCCAAGTCCAGTCTGTCCACTTGCTGTTCAGAGCAGGGCTCACACAGGGGGTTTTGTTGTTATTGTTGTTGGGTTTGGTTGGGAAGCAAGTAAATGGAGTCCTTTATCTTTCTGGTGAAGTGTTAATAGCCCCCCCCCCCCCCCATGGCTGGACAAAAAACATGGTATTGTAGTGCTGTCAGAAACACCTGATTCTGCCCTCTCTGGCAGCAGGAGCCCATGGCATCTTCTGCTCTTCCAGCCAGAGGAGGTGTGGGATGTACTGCAGGGTAACATTGGAACACAGGGGTACCTCATTTAATAACCACCACCACCTCATTTGCTTACTGCATGTCCTCATTTGCACTGACAAGACACATTTTGTGACCTATGCAACATTTGGGGCTGTCTCAGACCAGGAAATGAGAGCAACTGGAATAACCACAATAGACACAACCCTAGATCAGTGGACCAGCTGGGAGAGAAGAGCTGGAAACTGGGAGAGTGGCAGGCAAGAGGTGCAAGGCACCACCAGAACTTTAAAGCAAGTGCAGGATATAAGTGTGTTCTTCACTCTCTCCGATTTCCACAATGTTTAAGCCAAGATTTAAATGAATTCAGAAATAGTTTCAGTCGTATTTTAAGGACTTAAATAAACAGAAACATGTTTTAAGTTAGAGCAGACCTAAATGCTTTTCCTGAAACATCTTGTAAAGAACTTTTATAAAGATACTTAATCACATCCTTGAGTTCATGCACAGACTCGTGTCCTGCTGCTGCTTAAAATTTTAGGAGATGTCTCCTGTGAAGTTTGGGAGCCCCAGGCAGCTGCTGACAGGACAAAGCTCAGTAGCTTCAGATAAAGAACTAGGGAGCAGAAAAAGACCTGTGTTTTCCATGGATCCCAAAGGATGATCAGGTTCTCCATCTAACAGTGGGAGCACTCCCGGTAGCTTTGCCCTGGGAAGGGATGAATTGATTTTAGGATAAGGCAGAGGCTACCAATGCCTCTTCTTAGTAACCTGGGATTTGGCCTTGTGGCAATTCTACCTGCTCCAGGAAGTTTAAGGCAATGGAAAACAGGCTGCAGAAAAGATTTTGGCAGAGTAATTGTGAGAGGGTGACAGTTTATGAAACCCTTGGACTCTCTTCTTGTGCAAATTGAACAAGAAATCCATTTAACTGTAAATCTACTTAAGAAAGGGAAATACCAAGTGTGACAGTCACAGAATCCTCAGGGTTGGACAACAGAGGGCAAAGAGCTGTTAAAGAATTAGAGTGTTTTGCCTCCTCTGCTCAGCTCGGGGCATGAATTTTTTGATGGTTTTGTACAAAAGTGAATTGTCATGATGCCAACAACCAAATGTTGATATTGTGAAAGTCTGTAGTGATGGACAGCTTCTGCTCCCGGTGAAGCCCAACGAGGGACAAGGAAGGGATGCAGGATGGGTGAAAGGAATGACCAGGGAGAAAAACTGAGGGTGGAACTTGCAGTTCACTCTGCAGTGGTTTATTTTAAGCCATAGAATCCTTAAAGCTGGACAAGACCTTTAAGTTCACCATGTCCAAGTGTCCACCCAGCCCAAACCTGATCCCTGTATTTCCCAGTTCCCAAAAGGAACAACTCACTGCCTGTTCTCTGTGGGGCTCTCCCACAGCTCCCTGCTCGCTGCTTAACTCAGCACGTGCTTGGGTCAAACCTAAGACACTTGAAAACCCCCAAATCAGCAGAACAGCAGGTCTTCTCCTGAGCAGGGCTCTGGAGGAGACAAGGTGAGTTTTAAGTGCCGGGTTCCTCCTCCTCAGCAGATGCTTCCTCAGCGCTGAATGTTCCCTTCCAGAGCCATCAGTGCTGATGTTGCCTGGGGATATGTCTGGCTCCACAGATGGAGAGCAGATGTTCCAGCAAAGCTCCTTTTAGCATGTTCACGGGCAATTTGGCTCTCTCAGAGAGACTCTGGACAAAGCAGAAGGGGAGGAGGGGAAGAAAGAGGGAAAATAAGGAAAGGTTTCCCCTTAGAAAGCCAACCCAGGGCTCAGGAGAGAGGATGAGGTTCCCATTCCTCACCCTTCCACAAGTTTGTGCTCCCAGTGTTTCTGCAACTTTGTTCATCAGAGACAGAGGGAATGTACCACTAATTGGGCTAATTTTGCACTTGTCTGGAAGCTGCTGGTGAGGGAATCTGCCCCAGGGAATGAGGTACCAAGGGTACCACCCTCCGTGGGGCGGCTGTTGGTTATGACATGTAGCTGATATTTCCAGATCTGCTCAAGTGCTATTTCCTCCCAAGTATATTCAGATCCAGTGGGATCCAGAAATAGCATTTGACTGCTGGTCATTTCTAATCAGTAGGGTCTGATGAAAGCAAATTATTGATTGAGAAACTTTGCCCAGGATTATTGTCCACGATAAGCAACGGAGCCATCACTGTTGGGGTTTGGATTTTCCAGATCTAGATAGCAACATCTCCCTTTAACATTTGCCCTATTCATCTTGGGAACCACCTTCCTCAGCCCTGTCCCTCTTCCTCTGTCACCTACACAAATCCACCCATGGCAGTCTCTGTGACTTTCCCCCTTTCACAGAATTTTGGGTACAAATCTGCTTTTAGGGAATGTTTCCACTACAGATTGTTTTCTTTACAGTGCCTTAGCAGCTAAAAGCTGTTTCCCTGTACCTATATCCCAAAAAACCCAGGGTCACCTGAGGTTATTTGGGAGGAAGATTTTTCTCTCCTCTTCTTGTCCCATTTGCCTTATTTCAGACTCAGTTGGGGAACCTTCTCAATGACATTGAGAAACCTCCCAGTGCTGACAAAATGGCATTATTATTATTATTATTATTATTATTATTATTATTAATATCTTCTCTTTTTCTTCGCTGGGAATTTAGTCTGAATATGTTTCCATCACCTTTAATGTCTTAATAGAGGGGGTCAGTCCTTGGCCTGGACAAAGAACAGATGGAGAAAGGACCAGATGCTTTACTTTCAAGTGAGATGACTCCGTTCAAGTGAGATGACTCCGAAGTACAAGTGCATGGTGTCATAGCTGCTAATCCAACATTACACTGTGCAGCTCAGGGAGCTGCATCCCAGATGGACAGAGAAGACCAGAGGAAAGATGCTAAAAGTGTTGGGGAATGGTTTATCCCAGTGGGACAGTGCAGCTCCTGGTGGGGTGGCTCCCTTTTAACATGTGGTAGCAGAGGCTCTGCCAAAATAAGGAGTGAGAGGGACCTCCAGGACCTGAGTCACCACCCTTTATCCTATAGATCCTGCACCTCCTTTGGTGCTGTCCCTGGGACACCTGGATTAGTAGGCACATTTTTCGGTGAAGTGCTGGGGGCAAGAAAAGTGCAAGTATTATCATTTAACAATGGAATGTGCTTCTTTTTAACCTAAAACAATTGCAAAGGGAAGGGCCTAATGAAAAGCAGTCGAAGGATTCCCAGGGCAAAAGGATTTCAAAGGGCTAATGGCCATTTCTGAGCTGCTGGAATAACTGTGAAACAACACCTTTGTAGGATGTTGATTTAAGTAAAGAAGGTAACAGGACCTTTATTATTCCCAGGGTAGAAACATCAATTGTGTGATCAGATGTCAAAGTTTGGGAGGGAAGGCACCAGTGGATGGTTGTTAATACAACTTTGATTTAGTTGATTATTCCTATAAACTAGTCGAGGTAGTCTTGGCTTTAAACTCTTTGGTGTTTAGAAGTGAACACAGTCACTTCACCCTTCCTGCAGGGTGTTTGCAGAGTCACACCAGATCAACCCCAGTCTCTGGGACAAGGGGGGGATTTTCTCTAATAAAAACACTCACTGGTGGTTTCCCCTTTCTCACAGAGCTTTTTATGGATTGGGGGGTGATCTCTGGGCTCTTGCTGCCAAATAATTCCTAATCCACACCACTGCCCTGTGGCTGCTTGGATGAGTGATCTTTGGGAGACAACGTGGATGTCAGCCTGTGCTGGATGGAAGCGCTCCTGGGGACTCCTGAAGGAATGTGGTGTTCCTTGGGCAGTGGCTTTGGGAATGTTGCTTCTCCTGTGCTTCTCTGTGGCTGGTTGTTCACACTTCCATCCCTGAAGTGTCCAAGGCCCGGTTGGACAGGGCTTGGAGCAACCTGGGATAGTGGGAGATGTCTCTGCCCACAGCAGGAGGTGGGATGAGATGGGATTTAAGGTCCCTCCCAATGCAAACCATTCCACGATTCTAAAATTCTTGAACCATCTGGAACATCCCCTGGCAAGGTTAACATAATGCTGCATCCAGGGATTGCAGGCAGTTCCCATGGATAACCCTGTCTCCGTATCCAACGAGAAATATCTCTAGGGAGAGGAAAAACTGTCGCTCATGTGACATCTTATGCTGTAATTAGAGGGTTTATTTGGATATCTCCAAGTGGTGACTTGCTCCAAGTCATGGGATGGTGACTTGGCTATCAGGAACTGAGAAAATCCTTCTGAGCCTTCCTTTTTGAGGAAAACAGGAAAGTTTGGGTTTGGTTTTGCAAAGTCAGGGTAGACAATATGTTTTCTGCAAGGTGCATGTGCAGTTTTTAAAGAGGTGGGGTTTCCATCCATGAAACCACAGGTGCCCTTTCTCTTGGTACAAGAAACCCTGGATATCTGTTTGTCATCAGGATTTAATGAAAAAAGAGACCAAAACAACCCAAAACAAGAAAAAAAAACAAAACAAAACCAAACCAATCCACTGTCTTCCATAGCTGTACTAAGGTTTTTTTCTTTAGCCTTTCTGCTTTCCCCAAGGAGAGAGTGGATGAGGATACACAG